TAAGTAATCTATTAAATCAAGCTGTTCCCATGTGCCCAATGGAAAGTAAGTAATCCATTAGACCAAACTGGCCTCACGTGTCCAATGGAAGTAAGTAATCTATTACTCCAAGCTGACCATATGTGTCCAATGGAAAGTAAGTAATCCATTAGACCAAACTGGCCTCACGTGTCCAATGGAAGTAAGTAATCTATTAAGAATTTTGTTGACGGGTAAAGTACTGCCACAGTTCAATGTGTGGCACAACATCCAGTATTCGGTTTTAGTGTAAAAGTGTTACCACAGAACATGACACACCCATCAGTCCAGAGGATGTGGATTATTGATTTATAGGTTTTGGATTCCATCACTCACAGTTTGCTGGCTCGATTACCGTAATCTTTTGCATGGTAACTGGAAAGTGTCCAATGACACACAAGGGAATAAAATAAAAACAGAATTAGAGCACATTTCCGCTCTTTAAAAGACTTTGGGTTTTGAATGTAAAGACCTGAAGCACTTAATTATTTAAATAAGTCAATTATTACTTTCCACGAAGCAGGTTGTGCACTTAGCATCGAATGAAGTCTTTAGGGATTTAATAACATAAGAAAGAAGGAAGAGAAACATTATCTAATATTGACCTTTATGCAATTTTTGCTTCCTTAACGAGTTTCCTCGGTTATTAATGGTAAAACATAATGCCTGTGAACCATTATGAGGCTAAAATGCAATAAGAAAGCTTTAATCAGCAAGAGACACCATAATAGTAAATATTAAATTTTTATTGTGATATACTTTCAGAAATTGTCCGAGCCTGTACGTACTGTATCCAACAAGGAATGACGTTGTACTGGGGGACATCTCGGTGGAAAACGATGGAAGTGATGGTAAGGCTAATGTAAGTGTGTAAATTACTCCTACAGGAAATGACGTTGTACTGGGGGACATCTCGGTGGAAAACGATGGAAGTGATGGTAAGGCCAATGTAAGTGTGTAAATTACTCCTACAGGAAATGACGTTGTACTGGGGAATGTCTCGATGAGAGGACGATGGAAGTGGTGGTAAGATCAATGCAAATTTGTATATTACTCCTACAAGAAGTGACGTTGTACTAGAGGACATCTCGGTGAAAGACGATGGAAATAATGGTAAGATCAATGTAAGTTCGTAAATTAATTTTATAACTGAAACATTGCTTATTTGGGTGTATTCTAGTAAGACGTCTGTGTGGGTAACCAGATGAAGATTGGAGAGAGCTGAACTTTAACCAACATTATTCCAAATAATTGTGTATATCATAATTTTTACTTAATTTATATGTCAACGTAGTGATTTGTCATATAAAGGATTTCCATTAACATATTGAGTATTACCGAATAGGTTCTGAACCGTAGAACGTTTATTTAGGGCAAGCTGAGGCACCCGTCTTACGTTCTGGAGGCGTAAGAATTGAATGTAGGGCTTGAACTAATAAATTAAATCGAGAATTTGTATTTATATGCATATTTTATTATACATATGATTTGCTTTACAAATATTTAGACCAATTAGAAGTTTATCCTCCTTCCTTGGCCAAAATAAAGATATTTCTGGATGACCCTACTCTTGAACACCCAACACAGAACTGAAAAGAAAGAGGTTTTCAGATGTAACCCTGTCACTTAGGGTTTGATCTTTTGCTTTTGTTACCATTTTCCCTGGCGAAAATGTGAATGCTTGACATTTGTTTATAAACAACTAAATATATATATATATATATATATATATATTCAAGAAAAAATAAAAAAAATAAGGGGAAAAAATTGCTCCAAGATTGTAGAGACTAAAGTATGTTATTTAAACTAGCATATTTTTGCTGCGGGCGTTGTTCATGGTTGGTGAGGCCGGGTAATAACCACCCTATGACAGCCCCTTAGTTTAATGTATCATCCTACCAAGTTTGGTTGAGATTGGTCCGAAGACCACGGAGTAGTTTGCGGACAAACAAACAAACAGTTTTTAAATACTTTTATATGTATATATTGGTGGCATTGAAAGTGAGGTTCTGTCAAAACTCTAAATTTTACTTTGAGAGTGTTTGTCTGTTTGTTTATAATTAAGCACAAAGCTACATAATGGGCTATCTGTGCTCTGCCCACCACGGGTATCGAAACCCGGTTTCCAGCGTTGTAAGCCCGCAGACATACCGCTGTGCCACTGGGGGCACTTTGAGAGTGAACGATTTTTAGCGTCATCAGCTATTGCGTTAGTTTGGAATACAGACATGAAA